AATTTAGTATATGTACTACTATTACTTAACTTCTCTTCTATCTTAGCTTTATAATCTGACGTATTCATAGCTACAATTTTACCACCTTTATCTGCTGATATTACTAAAATACTATCATCGACTTTTAGACTTTTCAATGCTTCTTCTTGTTCTTTTTTAACATTTCTGTTCTTTTTGTCTGTCAATATAGCTCGATTCAAATGTCTATCGAGAGTATTTCTTACATCCGAAACAATCTGTTCTTTTTGTATTGAGTCTTTTTTATACAAACCAGATTCAATACCAGCTATCACCCGCGCCACATATTTAGTTGTATTAATGCCAGTAGTTGGTATAAAATTTAGTTCTAACTCTAATACATTGCTTCCCATTGAGACAATTTTCGAGTTGTAAGATCAATAATACGCGAATCAGGATGATGTGCTATTATTGGTACTGTTGTCGGCGCTAACGATTTATTATATATATAACGGGCTTCATTAAGTAAATAATTATACTTTTTAAACAATTTTTGTTTCAATATTGAACGTAATTTCACAATATCACTATTGTTATCTTTACTCCAAAATGGTATAGCATTTAAATCGACGTTTAATTCTTTAAATTGCTGACCTATCATTCTTAATTCTAATTCTAATGAATACATCTTTGTAAAATTTTGACGAATTATACTATTAAGTAATTTCTGGCTCGCAATTAAACATATTTGATCAGCGTGATGTGAATTAAAATGTTTTGAACGTATCCGTAAACCTTTTGGTATTAACCCATGCTTTTTACACTTTTGTAGAAAGAAATTTTGCTCGTATATAGTAGTATAAACATTGCAATACTGTTTTCAGATGTAGTTGTGAATCAACTGTCGCTTGTAGATGATCACAATACTTGACCAAGTTAATTGAGCATCGTTCCAGTTTAGATCAAGCAATAAGCTAGTAGACCGTTGTTCGCTCAAATTTTAGCAGAAACTGGCTCCGCTTAAAATCACAGATAATTTCGAATTTTCTATGTTCAAAGACCAAGAGGATTGCCAAAGTGAGAACAGAATAAAGTGTTATATACAAAGTCTATGTTTCTCATGCTCTAATCTATACTTAGCTCGTCATTAATGGATTGTCGTACTTGAAAGATGTAGAAAAACAAACTATTTTGTTCTATCATATTTATCTTTTTTCTCACTCATATTTCAAGAAATTAATGATGATACTTTACTTATCGTTGTTATTCTTTTAAACGAACGTTTGGAATATAGTGATAGTCGACATATGCTGTTGTTTTTCTATGGACGTACAAGAAAATTCTAGGTCAGAATATTTGCTAATGAAAGAAGATCACACCTGTATGTTCGATAAAGACAACATTTCTTCTTTGCTATGACGCAAACGAAAAGGAATGAAGAGAATATTCTATCCTAATGAATGACTATAAATTAGAATCTTATACAATGGCTATAAAGCAAATCTTTTTTTTGAAATTGGAACGAAAATGGTATTGTTATCAAGTAAAAAACGCAATTTTTTTGTTATCTTCATATTATTTGTCGTCAATTTCGGTTTTGTTTATTCTCACAAGATAAAAGCTGTTAAACCATTCAATCGTACATGTGCAGGCTATGCACATTCAAATAATTGTGAATATTATCAATGTTTCGAAGAACGTTTTCCATGCGGAGAAAAGTACTGGATGAAAGTTTGGGGTTATAAATATTGTGAACGTTTAACAAAACATTTGCAAAATTTTGATTCTGTTGGACAACGTCTTGTTTTACATATTAAGAAATGTTTATTTAAAAAATTTTCAAATGCTCGCTATTATAATATGAATGAGATCAACTGTAATCAATTAAAAACATCTGCCTATCGTTTATTGTATGAATGTTACACAGAAAATAGATTATTTTGTGATGCATATGATTCAAATCGAAATTGTTTTCAAGAATTAATTGATAATAATGAAAGACATGATTATCAAGCAATGAAAACAATGATTGGCGTAGCAAATAAATGTCATCCAAAAAAAATTAATTTATTACAACGTTCGACAGAAAAATGTCAAATAATAGTATAAAATTTATAATTTTATCGTTTTTATTCCAGGTATGGTCAATAATGTAATTTTGCATGCACAATGAAATATTGAAATGGACAAATGTTGTCTTTTTATCGTTTTTCTACCCAAAATACATTTTCTAGCGTAATAAATCGGTCAAAACAAAATTGTTCTATCGGCTACTAGATATAAGACGATAGTTGATACCAACGCTCCGTATGGTTCAGCGCGATGGACTGTTTTTAGCTCCCCCGCGGACTTCGCCTCGTCAACCTTACAAAAAATTCGATCCCGCGGGGACCGCCCCATCACCGCCTCGTCCATCGTCACCTATTGACAAAATTTTCGCCGGCCTTTCTTTTATCGATCCTCCTGAGTCCGGTACACTAAACATTAAGATGTTAATAATAACAAATTGCCGATGACCAACCCTACATATAGATACATATGCGCAAGAAAACGAAAGAACATTAGAACGACAATAGAAAACGAAAGAGAAAAAGAAAGAAAATGGATAGAATGAATAGATTGTTCTATAAACAATTTAACAAAGAGGAATAGGTCAAAGAGTAAAACGAGAGAGAGAGAAAATCAAATAACTAGGATGTCTTATACAGGGCACGTAATACGAAGACAGAAGAACAAATAAAATGGGATAGAAATAGCGTTTACAATAATACAACCGTTACTGTTCGAGCTTTAGCTTCCATTTGAGGAAACTGCAGTGTGCAAGGTAGATATCCTCTACTAAACAAACATATTTTTCAAGTGAACTGGAAATAAATTCCGTCCAGCGTCCCCGCGAGGATCCTCGTCCATTGCCCACCTCTGCTTCATATAGATTGATTTAGTCCAGTACATGGACTAAAAAAATCTAGTCCAGTTCAGTCCAGTCCGAGTCCAATAGATTGAATAAATAGTTCACTTGCAAACTTCTGTATGCTTCTGTCTAATAAAAAGTAAGTATTAACGCTAGAACGCCCGTAGCGGTTATTTTGACCGTTTTGCGATTTTTATCCTTAATAAAACAAACTGCATACAATTTATTTAAAAATAAATTATGTCATAACTTTTAATTTGTCCCACAAAAGTTTTTTTGCACAATTTTTAATTTGTCCCACAAAAGTTTTTTTGCACAATTTTTAATTTATTTTTGAATTCAGAACCATTTTTAAGTATAAAATTTTTAAAAAAAACAGTAACGGTCAAAATGACCGCTTTGGGCGTTCTAGGTCATGAAAATTTTCGGGCGTTCTAGTGTTAAAAATTATATAAAGGGTAACCCACAAGTCCTGTCTCATTCAGTATTTTCTCAATTTCTCGGTCGAGGTAGATCGAGAAGTCTCAATCTTTTTTCTCAAGTCTCAATTCTGTACACAAAACATATTGAACATTTCTTTATATACTATAAGAATAAAAAAATATAAATGAAATACAGGAAAGCTTCAATATCGATTACTTTCAAACCGACAAAATAGGTTTTCAATTTCAGTCCCTCACATTTTGCGCACAAAATCATTATTTTCTAGCAGCAGTTTTGAGGGACTTAGGAAATTTGTGTGATTTGGTCCAAATTACATATTATGACTTTAAATCTGGTTTATCTTGAAGCAGAATAGTTTTTCTGTTACATCCGAACAGAGAAAGTCGAATAGCCCCGTTTTGTTTCGTTTCCTGTGCCAAGGCGAACAAACCAAATGTTCCCTTTTTTTTACTTTTAGTAAAATCTTTGTTCGTAGCTGGAAAAAAGTTTGTAGCGAATTTATGATACAAGTAAAGAAAGTTGATATTCTGGAGCACCAGAAAATACATTTCGATTCCACTTTAATGCATAGCACCGTGTTCAAAATAAATATTTTTTGATTGCGCTTTAGGTTTGAAAGTAATCGATATTGAAACTTTCCAGTATTTTTTATTCTTATAATATATAAAGAAATGTTCAATATGTTTTGTGTAGAGAATTGAATGAGGTTCTTTTAGAAAAAAGATTGAGACTTGTCGATCAACCTTGACCGAGATATTGAGAAAATACTGAATGAGACAGTACTTCTGGGCCACCTTTTATATAGTGTATTTTTAATATTTACTTTTCATCTTCGTTTTTAAGACTTCGAACAGTCTAATTCATCATCAGAAAAATGTACAACGAGCTATAAAGAGATGTTATTTATACACAAAACTTGTATATATAAACGAACATATGAAATTGTCCGTCTGATAGTAGTTAAAGTAAAAGGAACACACGATGATATTAACAGACAAGGAAGAGAAATAACAGAATAAAAATAAATTCTAAAAGGAACTACTGCAGTAGAGAATGAGAGATACGGATTATTTCATTTTTATTTTAGTCCTTTGATTGACACATCCTTCTGGGTGTATCTCTAAGTCTTCTTGAGCCATTTTTAGAATTTACGTTTATTCTATTTTGTTTTTTTCTTCTCTATTAGTATTCTAGAATCGCCTTTAACAAAACAAAAATAACTTGTCGTTTACCGACTTTTCCTCGATTCGAGTCCATTCAAAATTTTTCCGAGTCCAGACCAGTCCATGGTCTTGAAAGTTTGAGTCCAGTCCGAGTCCATGAAATCAAAAAAATTTGAGTCCAGTGGGTACGAAGCTCTCGTTGATACAAATATCTATATTTTAGGAAAAATCATGGACGCAATTTAAATCGTGAGAAAAAATATTTATTATACTTTTTTTGTCGTAAGATACTCGATCGCATGACAGGATAGTGATCGGGAAATAAAGAAGAGAAATTAAAGTAAAACATGAAATATGCTCTCTGACTACGGTAATTGGTTTTTTTCTATCAATTAAGAAAATCAAGTAATATTTAAAACTTTTCCGTATACATGTCTAATCGTTGTGCACTCTTCAAAACTTCATAGCCTTAAGATATTTGGTATTTGATTGTATCATTTTTAATCGTGCAAAATACGGAAAATGAATCTTTTTATTTCAGATATTAATATTGTTTTTCTTTTTAAATAAGCAAAAAAACACGCAGTTTTCTTTGTTCGATAGATGAAAGAAACAATAGTAAAATAACACTTCATTGAATTTTATTATTCACAAAAGGAAAGGAGAAAGTTCAACGAAGCGCTTTTTTTCTCATTATTACTTATGATATCAATGTCAGACCAGCAGCGCATCCAATTGTCTAGATCCAATTGCATCCATCGTATTGTGAAAACTTTCACCATTTTCCTTCGTAAGAAGAAGAAATGGAATGTGAAGTTTAAAGAGAAGTTTTGTTGGTCGACTACAATTTTTGCATTTTCTGTTACCCCCTTTCTGTCCCCCTTTTCTGGCATTCGGACGGACGAACATCGTTCTGTAGAGACTAAATTGAGTGCAGATCATAATTGTGACTTTCGTCACAGTGGTTTAATGAGAATTTTTTGCTGCTATATAATCGTTCATGTAGAATAAAATTAAGCTGAAAAACAAAGAATGCGACAATATGAACCATCTATTTTGTGAAAACTTTCAAAAACTTGTCCAATTTCCGATGGAAATGGGATGTTAAAGCCATAATCCCTTTGAAAATAGGACGGATCAACTCGCCTCTTGTATAATCAGCCACACGGTGTGGAAGATTTCGTATTTTTGCTCCAACGGAGCTACGATGACAGGTTTCGTTCTTCTGTCGAGATAATCATTTTTGTAACTTACGAAAATGGACAAGGCTTGTCGTTCTCTAATGGTTGTAGTGTGAAGCTGAGACATTGATGATGCATTGTCATCAGTTCTTTTGCTGTTTTTTTTAGTATTTATTTGAAATTAAAGGTAAAAGTTTTCTGATACGGCTTTTTTCGACAATAAGCTTTTTTATATAGTCTGTTAAGAACAACTTTCTCTCAAATTTAATGTTTTCATTACACTTTTCTACACTAACAAAAAAAAAGTAAGCTAGATTTAAAGCTAAGCTTGATTGACAGTTTTCTTGCACGATTAAGAACTTATGTATTTAAAAGATCATACTCATTTTGCTCAAAAGAAGGATCAAAAGAAATTGCTTTCTGTTTGAATAAAAAGTGATGGGCAAATTCTTGTCCTTCATGTTCGTGAAAGTAGACATGTAGAGGAAAAGATCAGATTGACTTTAATAAAAATTCACACATGATATTATAACACAAAAGAGGATAAACGTCGTTTTTTCATAAATAAAAAACCTGTTTGATACTGGGTCTGCTCAAATGTGTAAACAATTTCTTCAAGAACTTGAATCGTTACATCTTATTCCAGAACAACATATTTCAAATCGATAAGTGGATCGAAATATTTTTATTACTAGAACTTTTAAAATGACTGAGAGAAAAGTAAAAATAGAAAAAAAGCATAAGTATGAAGTTAACAAATATGATGTAACTATTCTCTTATTTTTTGAAGATTTTTTTTCCTAAACTATTGATCAAAATAGGTTTGTCGTTCATTATTTTAGCGAGAACAGATTTTCAACATATAGTTGATCCGTGTGGATGAAACGACTTAGTAAGAGAACTTCTCGAAGTATCCAATTGTTTTCTTCTGAAGGCATACTTGATTAAGTGTAACATGTGATACTAATCACGATTCTGATTTTTACCCATAGAATTTTCTTCTATGGATGTTCAGAAATCCAATTTCTACAAATCCATCGCCAACTTCCATTTGAAGAAATTCTGATACAGTCAGTTTGTAGAGAATGTTGAGTTGTCTGTATAGTCTTGGTTTTTTTCTCACTTCGGTTTTTGATTGGCTGCCCTATGACGTAGTGCAGATGAGAACGCTGAAGTTGAAAAATAAAGTCGTATTGCTTATAGTTATTTCTGATTATCGTCGCTTTGCTCAATTTTGCTTTATATAATAAGAAATTTGTGGACGTTCGACAACATAAAATATTTTCATAGTCTATTTCACAATAAGTCACGTTTATCTGAATTTAATGAGGGAGAATCATGTTTTGTTTATCTCGATTCACAGAGTTTTTTGAATGTTTTCATTGAGTGAAGAAAAACATAATTTTTTTAATCGTATATCAAAAAATGTCTGAAATAAATCGAGTAAAAGCACGCTGAATATCTGTTGTTAATGAGTTGATCCTTTGTGAATACTACTTTATTTATCACATCACTTTGATTGGATCGAGATGTATTTCAGTCTATAATGAGTGAAGAATGACTATTCAGTTTGTTTGCTATTAAAAATTAGAACTAAAAGAAAAAAAAACCATTTGCAGGAAAATAAAAACCAAGGGAAAAAAAATGATGCTTTTCTTATTTCTATATTTTCTCTATTCTTCTTTTTTTTTTCCTTTATTTAAAATGAATAGAAGAGAAATCTACAATTAGTTAATTGTTGGTACTTGGGTTAGTATCAATTTGTTCGGTATTAGTTCCGGTACATGGAAGATCAAAGGAGATAATAGAAAGAAAGAAATTTTTTCACGAATAATAACGTCCTAACTTTTGAAAATATATACAAATTTTGGCAACAGTTATTTCGAACGTAAGTCAATTTTTGTGTCTTATGTCAATGAATAGTTTAAGTATATTTGAAATAAAGATTAAAGGTAAGAAAATATTTCTTTAATTATGACAATGATTAACTATAATATACGTTAAAAAAAAATCTTTTAAGGTGTAATATAAAAACAACTTAAAAAGATCACTCTAGTACCGGATCAGTATGATTAACAGAATAAAAATAAAATAAAAAAAGTGTAATTCTTTCTTATCTTGAATACTATTCTTGTTAATAGTACTATTATAAATAGGAATCGCCACAGTGTAACTATTTTTAATCTTATTAAATACGTGTCGTGTCGTGTCGTATTGTATCGTATCGTATCACATGGCTTTACATAAATAATAGAAATAAAAGATTGTTTATTTGTTGTTTTCCATCCATATCCACAAAACATAAATTATATTTCTACATAACTGATAGTCAAATATTCATCGAGTAAAAATGTTCTCAAAACTTATAAAAATAAAAGAAGAAAAGAATGTTTTATCGTTTTTCAAGTATCGTAATAAAACAGAAATATTATGATCAATAAGCTTTTCAATGTATGAAAACATCGTTTTAGTTAGATGTTAGAAAGTTTTCTTTATCAAAATATAGTTTTAAAGTAATATCTTCTAATAGAAAGCATTTAGTTATTCGACATCACATCAATTTTTTTTTGTTGTTTTTTTTTTTAACGATAAAATAAAACAATAGAAATTTTCAAGAAGAAAACTGACGAACGGTAAATCTTTTTTTAATATTGTTTCCATCATCATATTTATTATAAAATATTAAGATAGTTTTCTTGTTTTTATTTTTTTATGGTTACAAATAGAGTTCAATCAGAAGTTAAAAAAACAACTATTATTACAAAATATATCCTAAGTTATTATTTTCAACCAAAAATACATTTTAATTTCCGAATTTTATTATAATTTTTGCTAAATGACGGATATTGATTCAACAGAACTAAATAGATGATGCATATTTGTAAAATATATAGGTAGGCTTTTGAAGAGAAAAAAAACAAATGTTGACAATGTAAACATATTTTAGATTATTACTGCTTGAAATAATTTATCTGCAATAAAGTGTCTGTTAGTGCGTGCGTACTAATCTAATGGGAATTGAAAATGTTCAATTTTCTTTTGATAATGATTTAAAATAATATATTTTTACACAATTATCAATATATGTGCTATTTATACTAATATTTTTCTGTTAAAAGGTGCTATATTTTTTAGTGGAATTTGAATGTTTTAAAAAAAAATTTTGAGAACATAAAAATTGATTTTTTTCTATTCTCTCTCTCATCAATTTTTTAATAAAATTTATTTCACTTTCGATTCTATTGTAGAAAAATGAATTTTTTTATAAATTTCTACGAATTATACTGAAATTTTTACTTTTTCTACCGTTCGATATGTGTGTGTGTGTGTGATATAAAAGATGCAGATATTGTAATGATTAATATGCATGAATAATGATAAAACAATTTATTATGAATGTGTCATTGAAAAAACAATATGGAACACGTAATTTATTTTCTAAAAAGAAAAAAAACCATCCTACAAATACTATTACAGTTGGCCACCATCTCATTAAAACACAGTGAATGAAATAAATAGTGTGTAGAAAATAATTTTGATAAGATATTCTTTGATTTGTTGTTTAAAAAAACTATGCAAAATAGTTTATTGAATTGTTAATTTTATTATAGAATTATATATGATAGAGTTCTATCGTTATAATCTATCGTTATTCGTTCAAATTATAGTGAAAAATAGTTTCTGTTACACTATAGATGGATAGTTTCATCATCTAATTTTTATGTTTTTCGAAATTTTCAGCTTCATTAGATTTATAATAAAAACAAAATCATGAATTGATGTGTGAATTTTTGAAAGAAAAGATGAATGAAACTTTTTTTAAAAGAAAAAAGAAATTAGAATAAGGTAATTATTCACAATCCTATTTTTTTTTTTTTTTGTTTCTCTTAGACTATATACAATCGAAATAGGTTTTTCTTTTTTAACTATTACATATTTTTCTTATTAATAATTTGATATTTGATAGTTTTTCACTCTTGTATACTGCTTAAAAAAAAATTAAAAATACTATTATACAACTACTTTTATCTCTCCCTAAGGGCTAATCTTGAAATATTATTTTATTTTTTTTTGTATATTTAATGTTGATCTATCATTTTATTTTTTGTTATTATATGATCTATCACTAGTATCTCTCATTACTGGAGCTATTAATGTAATTATTTCCTATTGATAAGTATTCTTCTTTTCTATCAGTATTTTAGGGAATAATAGAAAGAATTGTCTTCTTTTCTTTTTTTTTTTTTCTTAAAAAAAGTATTTTCATTCTGAATGTGTTAATGTTGACAAAAAAAAACAAAAATGATAGGTTAGAAAACATATAAAATACAGAGAATATTTATCTATGTATGTTTTAAATATTTTAAGCTTCATTACATTATTTATAACGATTTATTTTATACAATTCATTTTTATTCATGTAGAAAAAAACAAAAAAAAAAAAAAAAATTCAATTATGATTTTCTTCTTTGTAACAGGTAATGCATACAAAATGATATCGTAATGTCTTTTTTTTATTTTTTTATTTTATTATATGGTAAAAATTCTTTTATTTTTTTTTTTTTTGTTTTATCTTTTGTATTACCTCAATTGATCAGTTTATCTATTTTTGTTTCGTGTTAGAGAGTCATCATCATGATATAAATACGTGAGAAAAAGCATTATTTTTCTCCTGCTTTTTTACACCCACTATAAAGCGATTAAAAGACTTTTATTTGCGTTGATTTAACATTAGATTGTTTCCACGGGGGTTAAGAAGATAGTCATCTAGAGGAAGAAAAAAAAAAAAACATCATTAAGGTAGATCTATTAAACAACAGAATTTGAAGACACTATGTTTTGTTTTTCTTTGTAAAATTAGCAATACTTACCTATGAATTCTTCTTTTTTCTTTTTTAGATGATTATATTTTTCTATTTTATTTATCATTGAATAAGTCACTTAATAACTGTTTAAACTATTTTAGAATGAGGTGACGTGATATAACTTTTAATAGAGTTCGATCGGATATTTCATTTTCTCTCGTGGTATTCCCATTATTTTCTTCTTCTTCTTCTTCGCTTTTATTTTTTTTTTTTGGATGCACGAACAATTTGTAACGCATATAATCATCTAAAAGCTTCCGTTTCATGATCTGATATTCTTTAAACTACCCTGTTTTTTACTTAGTCATATCTTCTAAAAATCAAACGAATCTAAAAGTACAAAAAACAAAAAAATTTTTAAATTTTCTTCTCTTATTCACTTTAAAAGGAGAAGTGAGTGATTAAGCTCATTAACAGGTTTTTTTTTCAACATTTACTAATTTAATTACTATTTTTTTCATTACGCCTTGTCTATGACGTGGTATGTTTCAAGAGTGTCAGTTTTATCTTTAAAAAGAAACTAAAGAACAAATAACAACAGTAGGTACTATTTGAAAAATCTTATCGATCATTAGGAAATTCCATTTATTAAATTGTATATAATATAATTTAAATTTTATAACTATAATTAAAATATAAAAGCCCATTTTCAAAAAAGAAAACGTTTAGGATATCATGCAAGTTTGCTATAATTAAGAGTTTAAAATAAACTGAAATGTGGTCTATGCACTTTTTTTTCATAAAAAAAAAAAAGAAAAAAGAAAAAATATATATATGTTTTCTATTTTTCTCTTTATAAAACTCAAGAGTTGTCATATTTCTCTAATCATTTGTCTTTTTTTTGAATTTTAGATTGTTTACACATCCTGATGTGATATTTGTTTTCTATTTTATATGTATATATCTATATATCTCTATATATATATAGCACAATAAAAATAAATAAATAATTAATTAATATTTTTACCATTGTATTTTTACACTAAACAGTAATGTCATCATCAAAAATTGTTATTGCTCTTATTTTTTTCCTTTTTATTGGTATTGTAAAAAGTTCACCATATTATCATCATAATGATGGCAGTGACAATGTTCAATTACAATATCAAAATGGAATGACTGATGGATCCTCACCATCACTAGCAGCCCAAACACATCAGGATTTAGACAATTTAATGCTTGACGATGATAATAATAATAATAATAATAATAATAATTATTTGATTGAACAACCACCATTTAAAAAATATCCAGAACAATGGGGACAATTAAAACCACATGCTACACAATTTTTACATTATGATGATACACCAGAATGGTTAATGATGGATAAAGATTCTCTAGATGATCATTATCTATCAAAACGAACATTAATTAAAAATAGACATATCAAACGAAAACCATCAAAACCGCCAATGGAAGTTATGAATGAAATTGTAAATTCAATTTATTTAAAAAAAAAATAAATAACATTATTCAGTTTGCAAAAAAACAACAACACAAAAAAACGTTTTTTTTCTTCTGAAAGAGGGGAAATGAAGAGCGGTGAATAAATAAATAATACTCTAGAATGTGTAGGCATATGAACTATGTGTCCGATATTCAAAGAACATTTGAATATACAAGCAAATGTATAGTTCTATTTACTTGTGATTCTTCTATTTTTATCTCTATTATTTTAATTAACTATGAATGAAAATAAACACATTCTGAAATGGGATTAATTTGAACGTTCATTGTTTTGCTTGATTTTTTCAAAAATAAAATTATTTCTACTTAAAGTAGAAATCAAATGTTTAGTAAAGAATAATCGATTCAAATTCAATAGTTTCTGTTGAAAAGTGTTGAATTGTGTTCAACATATTTTATGAACTGAAAACGTTTTGAATATATATATATATTTTAAATATACACACTTATTTTAACTACATGCAAATTTTTCAAAATCATTATATTTTCGTTTAGTTAAATATCGATCAAATCTAATTAATAACTCATTCTTTTGATAACATTGTATTAAAAAAAATCATAAATGTGGTATTATACCTAGACTTTATTCAAACTAGAAGTAATTTATTTTTAATAGAAATTTGAGCATACCACCTTTCTCTCTCTTTCTCTCTTAGATTATATAACATAATGCCAAGAAAATAAAAGAATATTAAAATGGTTTTGAACACTTTCTTATCGTTTCTAACCACAGAACACAAATATCAAATCTACAAAGTAAGATATTATAAAGTTACACAAACATTTTGCGGTTTATACAGCTGTTTTTTTCTTCTTCTCTGTAGCAGTAAACAGACATGTACCGTTCTTCTTTTAAAAAAAGTTATTTTAAAAATTAAGCTCTAAAGCTACTTATTTTAAATGTTTTTCGAATATGTGAAATTTTTTTTCCTAAAAAATGAGATGCAACAGAGTTTGTATTTCCATTTAATAAGACAAAAATAGGAATAATATTGTCCAACTTTAACCAATTTCAATGACAGTTGTAATTTTTTGAAAAAAAGAGTGTTAATGTTAAATTTAAGGCTATAATAAATTTCCCCAATAACTTATTTCGTAGAGAAAAGTCTTAGCTACAAGCTGACATCGTGGAGAGCAACTAGTAACAAATAACTTTAGTTTAAAACCGTACAATTATTTCTACAGATGCATCGAAAACCAATTCTAGGATTGATCCATTCCTTGCACGAAGTCATTCACAAATTTATGTATAATACAATATATGAGATAATTTCATCAAGATTCTTAAGTTCAGACCTGAACCGACGACTGGTTTATTTTTGCATTTTCTATACCCATTGAAAAATATATTTAAAATTCATGCAGGATCCTGCAGGATTTTATGCAGGAGCCCTGTGGATTGTATATATTAAAATATCCGACGATGTTTCTTACATTTACGCCGGATTTCTATTCTGCCAGTGGAGCCCTGTATAGTTCCAGTAGGATTAGTGTGGACTTGTAGGCTTCCGGCACAAAGTCTCGCGGAATTTTATTCCGAAAGAAAAGGCTTCTTTCATCGTATTTTAAACATATGTTTAAAATGCGATGGGAGATACCTTTTTTCAAGGTTTGAAATCATGCGCCGATGAACTGAATTAAAATGATTTTATTTGTATCAAATCGGAAGCATTAAAAGAAAAAGTTTGTTTTTATATAAATGAAAATGAGTGTTTTTTTTTATTTGGCTCTCAAACTTAGCCTAATGTTCTTAAAGAACGTTTCAAAATATATTCCGATCGCTATTCCTCTATTCCGCAGCCACTACAAAATATTTCATTCTATATTAGCTTTGCTATAGTTGGAGAGAATAGTCGGTTCTACCATCCTGGTTAGTATCAAGTTTTTTTCGTGAAAAACGAATGAGAAACAGTGAAATTACGAAGAAAATTTCGTAGAGTAACAGAGTAAAAAATATACTTCAAAGAATTTTAAAGGCGGGAGAAGCGGTATGAGAGTAAGTTGCCAACGAAACAAGAATACTCCTTTTCCCTTAAAGTACTCAATATATCAAGCTTCACTTTCTTTTCTAATTGTTTGTACTTCTTCAAAAACAATCGAACGTCGTGTTTCGAAACATTATTCATTTATCAAGCTAGCAACAACACATTTAAAGCAAAAAGAGAACATTTCTTTTATAGTTTATTCTATTGTTATACTGTTAAGGATTAGAACAAAATATTTTTCCCAATACAAGGAAAATACAATAGTATCATGCGTTTTATTATAAAAGTATAATAAACCAATAAACTATAAAAGAAATAGTTTCTCTATTTTTGCTTTGAATGTGTTGTTGCTAGCTTGATAAATGAATACCGTTTCGAAACACGACGTTCAATTGTTTTTGAAGAAGTACAAACAATTAGAAAAGAAAATGAAGCTTGATTCTTATAAGCTATATGTAGCAAAACTAGTATAAAATGAAATATTCTGTAGTAACTGTTGAATAGAGAAATCGTCCGGAATATATTATGGAACGTTCTCTTGGCTTCTTCTCAACAATTTTACTGGTCTTTTTATCTTAAACAATACATTTTTTATCTATATCTACTTCCACGCCGATCCTGTAATAACTTTTCCTCGAAGTTACTGTTTCTTTTCTTCAGGATAAAATCGTACAGATCTTGTAGGATCAGCGTCAGAGCTGCAGAATATGCCTGTTTGATCCAACCGTCGTCGGGAAAAACTTATTGATTCTGGGAAAGTTTTTGAAAAATTCCTCCGGCAACCGTCGGATCCCTACTTGACCAGTCAATAGCAACCATTTTTTCTTTTCTCGGTTTAGTTAGTTTGAATATATATGTGGCAGGAATAAATAAAATCCAGAAAAATTTAAAATATTCCTACGAACGATTAACATAGTGCATATTTCACGCTCATCTGACCTTTTCCTAGCAAACAAATTTAATTGTTCTATTCTCATCTTTATCATAGTAAAGCGTAAAATTTTTTTCTGTCGTTCGAATAAGCGCTTATTCAAAATCAAGAAGATCTTTTGCAATATTGAACAAATAATAATAATAATTTAAGTAAAGTTTGTTTATTTCTAGCAGCTATGTCGTCTTCTTGTCTCGTTTTAACATACACTTACTACTCTCTGCTTTATATACGAAAGAAATAGTTTCTTCTGGTTTATTGTTCGAAATCGAAGAGCTTTTGAGCAGCGTGACTCAGTCGACTAGTGGACAGACATATGGAACAACTTGATACTAACCAGGATGGTAGAACCGACTATTCTCTCCAACTATAGCAAAGCTAATATAGAATGAAATATTTTGTAGTGGCTGCGGAATAGAGGAATAGCGATCGGAATATATTTTGAAACGTTCTTTAAGAACATTAGGCTAAATTTCAAACATATGGAGTTCGAATCCCGGCAACGGCCGTCGCGTGATAGTCTTGGACAAACTATCTAATGCTCATTGTCTCAGTACCTTTGGACACAGATACAATGGGATAACCCAATTTCAGTGCCATTGGACTGGAGAGATGAGAGTTAAAGTTTAAAAATCAAAAAAAATCGAAGAGTTAAAACAAATGTCCAAGGTGATTTGGGTAGCTGGAAGACTTTCCTACGGTTTCCTAAGGTAAATATAAAAGCTTCATTAAGACTGGTGAGAAACGAGTTCCTAAAAAAGGCGGTCCAGTCATATAGACCGAACATTTGTAAACAAAATGAGATATCTTCAACCTCTACATAACATTTTTCATCAGACGGCGATCAAGCCCTGAAGAACCCTCATCAGTCAAACCTAAAAGCAAGAAAAGATCTTAGGGTTCTTGTTGTGTAGAGCCTGGAGATGTCCCATTTTTCGAACAAATGTTTAGTCTGTATGATTGGATCGTCGCTACTGTAAATCGTTACTTCTTCCGTTTTTTAGCCTTCTGTGCTCACTACTTTGTATATAAAGTCGATATTAGAAACTACGTCTCAGTTATTAATTCATCCCATTATTCTATGTCTTTAAAATTACACAATTCAGAGATTAACTTTATCAGTGAATAGAAATTTTAGCACAATTCATTCTGTCATGTTTCTCTAGATTATTAAAATGGAAAAACGTATATTAAAATTTGAATTTGACGTTGGATCGACGTCTCATTCGACATCGCGATCCACTCATGAAGATATAGGCAAAGCAATGACTCTGGTACAACGTGAACGTGGTCGAGATATTAAAGAGAAAGAAGAGTTACGCCATTTGAACGATCGTTTTTCACATTTTCTTACCAATATTGAACAATTGAAACGTCTCAATGAAAATTTACAACAACAATTGAAAGATGAATTTTCTAAATGGGGTATTTTACCACGTGATGAAAATAAATTACGTTCTATTGTCATTCAAATAAATGATCGTGCTATGAAACGTGCCAATGATGAAGTGAAAATACGTGCATGTGAACAAGATACAGCTATTTTAAATCGTGCAAGTAATTTATACGAAAATGTACAAGATATGTATAGACGGAAACAAGAAAATTTACAAAATATTATTGATAAATTACAAGAAGAATTACAACGTATTTTACAACGAGAAAAATTTTCAGAAGAAGAAATATTATCAACACAAGATGATTTAAATAAAGAAATAAAGAAATATCAAGAAAGATTAAATGATTGGTTAAAAGTTGTTGTCGAAAAGCAAACATTACTAGATGATATTCAATCATTACGTGAAAGTATGAATTTAGTAAATGCATTAAATGATGAAGAAATTAATGAATGGAAACGTTTATTAGATCAAAGTAAAGATGATTCTATTTTATTTTATAAAGATGAATTAACAAATGCTATTCGTGATATTAAACGTGATTATAGTAAACAAGTAAAAAAATTTCAAGATGAATTAGAATATCAAATTGAGGGTCAATTACGATTAGTCGAAAATCAATTGAAACAACAATTATCATTTGATGGTGATGAAAAACAAAATTCAGAAAAAAAAAATCGTCTAATATTTGAAGAAAGAAAATTGCATACATCAATAGAAGAATATGATAAAGAACAAATAAAATTGAATAATTTAATAATGTTATTATCGGGTAAAAAACGTTTATTAAGAGATGAAGAAATGAAACTGCATGAATTAGAACGAAAAATACGTGATAAACAATTACATGAACGTTTAATAACTGATAGATTAAAATTAGAATATGAAGATTTAAGACAAAAATTTGAACAAATGGCATTTGAATTACGTTTTAGTATTGAAGATGAATTAAAAATCTATGCAAGGTTATTAGATGAATTAATGAAAAAATCAAGTACAACAATATCATCGACTACTACAGCATTAAGTAGTAGAGGAGCTAATCCATCAACATCAAATTATACCTACACAACATCATCAATGATACGATCTGGTGGAATTGAAGGAAGTACGAGTGGTGTACAAAGTAGTCTTCATAATGGTAGTACTCCACTAACGACAAGTACAGATGTATTTCGTACACGTAGTTCAGACTATAATAATCGTTCATCAACAGTACCATTGCCATCAACAGGAACGAATGATTTATTATCACATAATTATGAAGGTACAACAGGTGGATTTAGTGGATGGTCTGCCATAGGAGATGATTTGACTAGTTTACATCATTCATCATCCTCATCATGGCATGATGAACATCAAGTAGATGAAAATTATCGTTTACCACCTGAAGCTGAGATCATTGAAACGTATGAGGATAGTGCAGTGAAATCAATTACGAAAACATCGATTACTTAATAAAACATTATTTAATAATAACATAAAAGACAAACAACAATTACATCTGTTTTATTCAAAATTTAATTGTAGAAATTCTCTTTGTTCGACTATTCATTATATAAATAGTATCTATTCAAAAACTAAATTAAAGATAGATCACTGTATTCTATTACCATTCATCTCTATTCTAAGAACAAATAATTAAATCGTGCTCGATCAACTATATCGTTTCAGCTTAACGAGTGTCATTTACCTTATAATAAGTATCGTTTTATTACAAAAACACTCTAACTAATATGTACAAAAAATTATGTAAATTAATAAATGGGACAAATGTATATGTAGAGAATGAATAAAATACTGCTGGAAAAAAAATAGTATAAACGTCAACAATTCATTCATACATCATTAGAACGTATGAAAATAGTGAAAAATGCTTTTAAATTTGGTCAATCCCATACATAAACATGTAGCTAAATTAAAATAAATACGATAGTCATTTTCATTTCATTCTAATGATCTTGAATAATGTTCAAGTAATTGTGAATAAATTTTTTTTTCAAAAACATTCATTATCTTTGAGGAAAAATGTGATAATTGAGAATAATTTTTTGATCTATAACTAATGATTTTAACTAAATTGCTTTCATTATATTTGTTATTTTTTCTCAAACAATAGACAGTCCTAATTATGCATATCCATCAGATGCGTGTTAGTAATTCTCTTAAAGAATTTGTATGTTTGATTAAATCAGTATTTGTTATTTTAATGCATTTTCAATTAATTCAAATTTTCTTTATCTGGACCATTTCTTGATTCTTTTGCTCGAACTAATACAGTAACATCTGAATTCTTGCATAAATCAGTTCTTGCACAATTTAATAATAATTTTTCAACAACATTTATTCTGTTATACATGGCTACAATTATCAGTGCTGTTTCATCAAGTTCAACTAAATTTGTATCGCCCTCCAATCGAGAGATGTAAATAGTCAATGAATCATAAGACAAATGGTTGGTTGCATCATTATCATGTAAAGACTATGAAATTAAAAAAATGGCTTCAGTTTTACTTTATATCATCAACTTTATTTACTAAGTCATTGCGATTTTCTTCATATTGTTTACACAGAAATTGTGTACTCTATAGCTTGTATTATTAGAAAGAGACTATGTACTCATTTTATTGAATAGATTATGACTATTTCTAATATTTTCTCATACTACTACGACTATTCAGTTACAATCATGGACAACACCAAATAATTGATATCGCATTAGAAGAATTTGACTTGGAATATGATACACATTTAGTTTGTTCAAAAGACAATAAATAGAACGTTATAATTACTTTTTCATAATCAATTATATTGAAGAATTGTTTCATATTTACCGGAAATGCTACAAATCCTTCTTTATTAAATGCATTTATATCAATTAGTGATACTTATTTCCAATTTGAACATTCTGTACGCAACCATTGATTAATACTGTAAGAATGAAATGTAGTATGACACAATAATATACCTAATTTATCATCACGTTTCAATTGTTCTAAACATATTTTAAATGAATTCTATTTGAAGAAATATTATTTACACTTCATATATGAACACATGATATAATTGTATTCTTCTCATTCGAAAGTAATGAGTAATAATAGTTTTATCTTAGAACAAAAATAGCGGTAACGTTCTTTAATGTCGCGAAAAACAAACTTAAAAATGACATATCGCCGACGACATCATTATTAATTCATCAAATCCGTACTCAACAAGATTTTTCTTTTCGACTAAAACTACAAATTAATCCATATTCTTTTTATAACACAAAACAAAACATTATACATAAGAGTTTGCAATAAAATATAAATGACGAATAGTAGGACAAAAACCGAGAACGTAACACATTTATCTGTACAAAGACGAAGAATCACTCTTTGTTTGGGATTGAATAGTTAAAGACATATAACCTATATCGATATGGAAATACAAAAACAAAAAACAGTTTACCATTTAGTAAGAAAACAAAAAAAAGAAATCAAAACCAAGTTCACATTGCTAACATGTTACCGTGGACCAGGATAAAAAGACAAAATATTCTAATGTGTGTTTATAATTTCACTTGAAATTGAACAGGATTTGTATTATTTGTTGATGGTTGAAATAATGCTTGACGTATTAATGTCGGATCAATTATAATTTTGTTATTTGTTGTTGTTGACATTGGATTATTAGTCCCATTCGTAGTTGTCGGGGGCGTATTTAATTTTAGCGGTTGATTCAACCTTCTAAAGAGAAAACAATTTTTTTTTTCTCAAACTTAAAAAAACCGTCATCTAGGAAAGAAATACAACAGTACTGAGTTTAGTGTTGGTCATATTATTGAACATTTACAATAGAGATGACAGCTACTATTCTTAAAAAGACATGGACGGCTGCTCTTATAGTATTCAAACTTTGAGACGGTAATCGAATAGTTAATAGGATTACTCATGATTAATTATCATTTCAAACTTGTTGTCTTATTTCGCAATGATTATCTTTAGAAAAAAAATTAACGTTTTGTTTTCCATCGTTCATTATTTGTCTGCTTTCATATAAAATTTAGTGTTATTTGTTTCGTTAAACTCCTCTGTTCTATAGAAAGCATACCCATTATCTTTTTGCTGTGATTGTGCTAAAATAGGTTTATTGACCGTTGTTGTTACTTGGGGAACCATTGTCGTCGTTAAAGGTGATCCAATATTTGTCGACGTCGTCTTTGTTGATGATAATGGGGTTAAAGAGGTGTCAGGTTGCTGTAAACTAACATACATCAATTGACCGTCTAATAAACGATTATGATACTTGGAACATGCTTGCTCGGCATGCTCACGATGTTTATAGACAATTTGAATACATCCACGACTTAAAACGCTTATGTGATTTATTTGACCGGCTTGACCAAATAATTCCTAAGAAACAAACAAATACAAAAATGTAAGAACTGATGTAAAACAAACGAAGATGTGAACGAACCATAACATCGTCTTCCGTCACTGTTGAATGTAAATTAGTGACAAGAACAGTTGTTTCATCATTCAAATTCTTTAACTAAAACAATAAAAAACAACAACAGATAAGCAACAAATACACTTTCTATTGAGCTATCATGTACCAAATTTTGTTTTTCCATGGTTGTTGATAATCTACCTATTGGTGCAGTAGTTGTTGAAACAGCCGTAGTTGATGTTCGTTTCGTTGTTGTTAAGTTATTCGATGTTTGTTGAATCGTTTTTCGTACCAAATAAGATGATTGTTGATGTTCATGTTGTTGAGTTGAATGTAACTGAGCTCGTTTTGGTGGCGGCTCAATAGGTTCATCAATATCGAGATCTTCATTTATATCGTGCGTTGTTGTACTTGTACTAATTTTTGTTCGACGTATAGGTGAACGTATGCCACGAATTCTTTCCTGTTGCAGTGGTGGACTTGTTGTTCTAGTTACTGTTTGAATTGATGCATCGTTATGTTGGCGTTTAACAGGTAATTTACGCTGAATAGGTAAACGAGCACGATCATTTGTAATTGAATGGACCGAAGATGAAGAGGTGATTGTTGCCGTAGTTGAAGAACTCATTGTTGCTGGCTTATTCACTTTTTTATACAAATCATTCACAACACTAACAACAACTTTTTGATCAGATAATGATGATAAATCATCACTTTCTTGTCGCTTTGTCATTTCGTCATCATCATTATCCTCCATGTCCATTCGAGCCAAATTGTTAGTAAATGTCTAAAAAATTCAGAAAGTACAGTGTAACAAACAACAAGTATCTTTTAAAACTATTGCTCGACGGTGGAAACATATACTTTTGTAAACAGCGACTGAGGATTCGCCGGATTATTGCGTATGGTCACAAACGTTGACGGGCCAACATTGAATATTTTCTTCGGTTTTGGAGGACCTAAACCAGTGACCATCTAAATATATAACAAAAAAACGTTTTATTTGTACAAATTTTCTATAGAGAAACAGCTACTTTTGTTATCTCATTCGATATTCAAAATCAAAACTGACAAGAAAAAGAAATGTTGACATTTATTATTAGAAGTGACTATCAGCTAAAACTGATGCTTACTCTTCCATCTCTCATTCTTATATCTTTCAATCCTGTAACGACGACCATTGGATTTTCTTCTAACAACATTTGTTCACTACGAAACGGTGTTGTTATTGTCGAAGAAGAAGACGCCGATTTGTTTCGTTCTTGAATTAATTGTCTAGCATCAAATGATGAAGCAGGGGATTTTTTCAAAATATTTTTCTTTGTTAATAATTCCCGTGCATCGTTAACTCGTGGCGTTTGACGCTGCTGTTGTTGACGAGTTGTATCACCACTTAAACGTTTCAAAACACTAACATGTTGACCTCTGTTTACATTATTGGATCTCATTATGAAAGAAAAATTCAGAATAAAATCTAAAAGATCAAATTCTCTTACAATTTCAAATGAAAGAAATTACAATATAATTCAGTTGAAACGGTCAGGATGTAGAAAGAATCTAAACTGTTCACCAGTGCACAGTGGACATTTTTCACTAGACAGACATCACATCAGATTTTTAATCATTCAAAATAATTGTTTTTGACTTAGAATGACTCTCTATATCTGAAAATGATATTCTCTCTAGAGAAAAGTCTTATTCTAAAAACTTTTAGTTTCTTTGATCAATAATGCATGACGTCCTCTTCAGCTGAAATTTTTGATCAGAAAAAAATCTCAGAAGATGCTTGAAAACTATATCGCTCGATGCAGTTTTTTGCGCTGCTTTCGAATATGTCATTTATTTTGATTAAAAGTGTTTCTGGACAGAAAATGTGTAAAACGTAGGATTTCTGCAGAACTTATTGTAGGATATAGGAACATGTATTTTATTTTATGCTAAGTTCCTAGCTGTAATAAGTTTAGAAGAACATGTGCACAAAATTCGAAAGAAATGAAAAGCTGGGAAAAACTGAAAAATTCATCAAACTAAATGGCTATTTTTTTGCAAACGTTGTCATCTCTAAAAATAATCTTTTTCTGTATGATATCAACTTTAAAATTTAATTTTTCTCTGTTAGAAATCTAGCAAGAACATCAGACTTTAAATCTAATTGCATTATGAATCTAAGACGTTACTTAAACTTTAAAAAGGTTTTGACCTTAATAGTGCTGAGCATTTTTGTAGCCTGTTTTGCTAAACGGATTTTTTCCCATCGTTTCGAAAGTTTACTTCTTCATCAGGTTCTATGCAGAACGAGCACGTATTCCTCATGTAACACAAAAAAAGATGAACACAAAATAATAATACACGTGATAGAGAAATAATGAAAGAAGAAAAAAAGTTATCGGAACATCCATGATTCATTTTCGTTTCACTATTACTTTCTTGCATTTTACTTTCAAAATAAAACACATAAATTATTCATGTTTTTTTGTGAACATTTGTGTACCCTGTATATGAGCTGCTGCTGATGATTAACACACCATAAATAAAACATTAAAATAAAAGGGCTAAGTATTTCGAAAAAATATTTTGACTTTGTTTAAACGTAATTAATCTTTACATGTTCTTTCAAGAAATAAACAAAAATCTATTCTACGAATATTTTTTCGGATGTTTGAAAGTATTTTACATTACGCTCTTTATGAGTATATAATTAAAAATAATCTATTCGATTGCATACAATCCAATTTCCGTAAAATCAAACATATTTATCTCACAATGAAGCGTTCTAGCTCATCCGGTATTTTATCATTTTCACTGATGATTTGTACAGCAACCGTTTGCTAATGACACGTTAATTTGTTTTATACATTAAAACAGGTAATTTCTCATAAATAGCTAAAGCGCTTATATTTGATCTGAAAGATGATAAATACCATTAAATGGAGATAAATGCCAATTCATAGTTTTTAATTAAAAATCTAACATAAATGTATGCTGATGTTATGCTTGGTTTAACAAATACTTCAGTTTCTTATTAAACACAAACATCTTGGAGTTATCTATCTTACTGATCTCATATACAATATGCTATTATCAAATATAAAATAGTCATCAAAATTCTCAAATTGGTAATACACATTGTAAACCTTTCTTCCTTCTTTTTCTTATTAAAACTTGAATTAAACTAATCTCGCAGTTGGACTACAAGTACTTTTATTGAAACACTGAAATGCAATATAGTTAGTTCAACACTACGTATCATTCGTGTAAATGATGACTTCTATCTAATAATTCAAACGATATATAGTGATTGTCAAACCGTTGACAGTTTTATCTACATTGTCTATGCTAAGAAATATTTTATGCTGACTGTTAAATGTATGATTTGCTACATTATAACGACAAAACGTTTTCGCAAAATAAATGTAGAACTGATGCCTGTTTCGTGCCTTTCTTCTTTCTCTTCTTTGGTTCCATACTTTTTTTTGTCTTTAACACTACACGTATTTTCTATACTCATTCATTACATATATTAGACACCTGTATGCTCTGTTTTTAATTTAAGGACTTTGTCACTCCGGCACAGAATGGTTTTTGTCTTTTATTACATCTTGTATTTCTTTACTATTATTATTTTTTAGGGATGGGAAAATAATAAAGCTTTAATCAATTCAGTTTAGTTGTGTCTGCCAGGAATCATCGTGGAACGAGATGAGCTTCCTCTTGCAGAATTTTTTTTTCATGGGATTACTTTAAATTTAGCATAATCTCTGCTGCAGACAACAGCAGTTTGTTTTTCTAGTTTTGATATATTAAACTGTAAAATCTACTTTTTCACATTGTATTATATTACATTAGATATTACAAGACTTTCATAGTGAAAATAAACTGCCTATTAACAAACCCAAGTAAACATTCCTATAAGATGAAATTTTTTCGTCGGAAAATGTCCCATTCTATGTATACTTTGAAAATTTTTCTCTCATACTGTAGGACTTCGTGAGATTCACGTCCCACAACTATTTCTGGTCTTTACTGCTAAAGGTCAACTTCTAAGGTTCAATGTAAATATAGATTAGCCACCTAAATCTCAGCTATCTTCTTAATAAGGATGCAGTATCAGTATTTATTCAGCACAAGAAGAATCAATGAGTACAATCAAACTGTTTCTAAATATCCTTTCATAGATTGACGTGTGTTGTAGTAATGGAGTATACTATTCTCAACAACGACCCAAAATTTCTTAAATTTTTACGCTGGATAATATCATCTTTTCTCAATGTTCAACGTAATCACTCTCTAAAAATAGCGTAAAACAAAGAGTCCTTAAAAAAGGGTTCACGACCTCAAAAAGTGTTTGAAAATCGAAAATGGTTTAGGAATCGTTCTTCAAAACCTATTGAACTTTTAATAAACTAATAGAAGTTTCATAGTCATTTAGAGAAACGTTTTTCCGTCCTTTCAAGTATCCAAACGGATTTATGAATTCTCTTAAAACTCTCAAGGGTTTCGTGTCGTGACATCGTCCTAGATCTTTGAGAAAGAGTTTCGAAGTTTTAAAAACTTTCTAGGTTCATAAAATCGATTTCATATGAATAGAAATTCGAACACACGAACTTAGCTTTACAGTAAATGTTTGGATTTTTTATTGAGTTACAATGAAAAATAGTTTTGTGTTTCAAATTTTCTTAAAGGATCTATTTTACACGTAAAAAGAATAAACAACAAACAAGAAAACATTTCACTTAGTGTCATCTTCTTCAAATAAAGTGCAAAAGAAAAAAACAAATAGAAAAAAGTAAAATAATGTGTGTTGTGAACAGTATTCATCTGGGAAATTTACAATCATTCATTCATTTCTCTCTCCAACATTTTTATCAGCTTTTTTCTGCGTATCAACAGTTTTGCTGTTTGGTGTCGTCACAAACAGATTTTAGTCCAAATCATTTCTCAAATGTGTCAGATTTAAGTATGTGTTGAAATTTTGTTCAAATTTAAACGGAAAATATGCATTTAGACTATATATGAATAAGCAAAAAATGTTTAATTTATTCATATCAGTGTCAAGAAGCTTATCAAAAAGTAAACTTTGTTGTCATTCTTTGTTTGCAGACAGGCAAGACATAACCACGAACGGTACTAAATACCTGATAATTTTCATCATTAAGGTTGAGACAGAAAACATATAATAAACCTCAATCTCGAAAGCTAACCGAGATAAAAAATACTTTGCTCATATGAAAATTATAAAAGACTATTGAATGTGCAATATGTTACAAAAACGATTCTGCTGAGATAAATTAATTAAGTAAAAAAATTATTTGTTTTAAATTTTTTAAAAAATGAATTAATAAACAAAAACAAGCAAACAACAACAATAAAAAACAATTGACATTAGTGTTGTCGTCTTATTTAAATAAAACGGAGAAGTAAAACAAAAAAAATATTCTGTGTTATCACCGATACTTATTTATAAAACTCAAAATCTAGTTCATTTTTCTTTACAACGTTTTTATAAGCTTTTTCAAAATCTTTTGCTAATACAATGTAACGATTTTCTCGAACAGCTTGCATACCAGCCTTAAAAAGAAGTCAAACATCGTTAATTGTAGTGGATTTGCACGAATTCTTTAGTCAAAGAACCGTGTAGAGAACATAAAACTCATCTTACCTCCTGACATATAGAATTAATATCAGCTCCAGATATTCGATCTGGTCTAGCAACATAATCTTCTAAATCAACTTCTTCACTCAAATTCATTTTCGATGTTACAGTTGAAAATACAAGACGTTTTTGTCGACGATCGGGCACTGGAAATTCTATCTTACGATCTAAACGACCGGGTCTTAATAATGCTGGATCCAACGTATCAGCACGATTTGTTGCCATTATAACCTATATGACGAGAAAAAAAGAATGCATCAACAAATTCGAAAAATTTCAATGTTGTTTTAATTCTTACTTTAACATTGATACTCTGATCAAAACCATCCATTTGATTTAACAGTTCCAACAGAATACGTTGTACTTCACGATCAGCTAAAAAAATAATTCTTATTATTTGTTTAATATATTATGTGAAGAAAAGTGGAAATTATTTTTAAAGATGCTTGGAAAGCAATGTATTAAATTTTTGTCTAACCTCCTGTTTGTGCATCAAAACGTTTTGTTGCTATAGCATCAATTTCGTCAATGAATATGATAGCAGGTGCATTTTCTAAAGTAAAGAAAACGACATTATTTCATATCTTTCTTCTTATTAATAACCAATATACCCTTTGCAAGACGAAATACATCTCGAACCATACGCGGTCCTTCTCCCAAATATTTTTGTACAAATTCTGATCCAACAACACGTATAAAAGATGCTGCAAAAAAAGAAGAATATAGTTGATTTTTGACTTCTTTTTATTAAAACTTAAGTCACCTGTTGTATGTCGAGCAACAGCTTTGGCCAACATTGTTTTACCACAACCTGAATAAAAAAGATAAACATGTGTAATGTAAGCTTGAAAACATATTATTTTTATTTACCTGGTGGACCGTACATAAGCACACCTCGAGGTGGATCAATTCCAATTAATTTGTACAGTTCTAAAATTCGTTTTAAAGATGTGTTTGACGAGAAAGAAGTGCACATTTAAGAAATATATGCATATATGAAACAGCAAAACTATGCATACAGATGTAGTGAATAATATTGCTGTATTAAACATACCAAAATGTGTTAATGGTAATTCTACGGCTTCTCGTATTTCTTGTTTTTGTAAATCAAGTCCACCAATATCAGCATAATCGACATCGGGTTTTTCATCTGTCAAGAGAAATGAAATAAATTATTAAATCTTTTTTTGTTTGTGTTTTTTTCTTACCTGCTTGAAGCATGGATATACTACTATCTGATTCTGGTGGTAATATATCTACAAGTGCATTACTGTGTTTGTGCAAAGCCACACTTGCACCGGCTTTTAATAATTCACGGTCAATTGTCGATAATATTCGAACATAATAATTCGATCCTTAACAAAAACGTATTCCAATCAAGTTTCTCAACAACAGCAAGATTTGTTCACAAAACTCAAACAGTTATACACAACCATCCTGCAGTAATTACCCGTTGTTGATCCAACAATGCCTGTATTTTGATCGACTGCTTCCAGAAACTGTCCAATAACAAGTGGTACACTTTGAATGCGTTTTATTTCTTCTTGTGCATGTAACATTTCTTTTTTCAAGTTTTTTAATTCAACTTTGACATATTCTTCTTGTACTTCCAAAAATTCTAATTGACGTTGAAGTTTCTAAAGTAATTAAATAAGTATTTCCAGTTTATCTATGTATAAAGAATATATGATCTAAGTCTTACTTTGTATTTTGTATATAAATCATCTGCATCAAGTGATTCATATTGGGATGACAATGCATAGTTAGTATGGACTATTTTGGGTTCAGGCTCACGTACAATTTCCTCCTAAAACGAAGATTAAAAATAGGCTGAGCAAAATACTAACAGAAAGAATAGAAAAGTTTACCTCTTTTGAAACTATAGCACCACTTTCTTCCATCATTTATTCTATAAACAATACTGTTTCCGATCTACAATCCCACAAGGTTTTAATAACAAAAACTTATTTCTTTCAAAATCGACTACTCTTTTCTACAATGTGCCCATCTGTGTTTCAAATTCTTAATTCTTTACGGAATTTTACATATTCAAAAACGTTTGAGAAAAAATATGGTAATATCTTTCTCCACTCTTGAGATAAATTGAGGTCAGATAAAATTATTGATACGCCCAATTTGATTATCCAATAGCATTCGAGGATAGGGATTCAATTAATGAAACAAGAAGAATTTATTCATGCAAAAATTTGTGCTACAGCTGCTATCAATTAAAGCATCAAATTTTTTGTTGAACACAAAATCCCGTTATGAAGGCAATAAGACAGCAATACCAATTCTTCATGAGGCAATCAAGTCGGTTAACACACACAGAAAAGAGCAGAGCAGATCAAAAGCACACATAAATTATATTTACACGAATGCAATTTCACGTATTCTATGCAATTGGTGAGTAAGCTCGCATGACAGAATGAACGCATTAATTGCCCTGAAATATACACGTGCACGAGACCTCACAGAAAATTTTTAAATAATAAGAATTATTCTGCAATTATCTTCGAAACTCAGTTGCGTGAAACATATCTCTCTTCATAACTAAAACAAATTGTCTTTGGTGACTTCCTTTTTCTTCCATTCAACAGAATAGGATGATTGATCTACAGATACATTATTTAGTGGATCTTCAGCTCGACGAATTAGAAAACAAGAACTATCCTCCATTGAGACGTTATGATAAAGAAAGGTACACTCTCAAGGCAGATTAAATTCTAGTAGTGAACTTTGACAGATGCCTACCTAGCAAACTAAATGTATTTCATAAACTATTTTTTGCTCGCAATAGTGGCAGTACCATCGCTTGGAAAAGTAGTATTGGGAACCCACGTTCAGTCGATCAGTTTTCCTTTATATCAGGGCATTCATATGGTAGAATCATGCGAACTAGCTAAATACCCAAATGAGACTTAGATCAAAGCTATAGTATGATCTGAAAATAAAAAACATTGAACATACGTTAAACAAAGTAGCTGTCATTTACAGTTAAAGAAAAATAGCTCCTTAACCATAACTTATAAATGATATGATTATTTATAACAATAAAATATTTATTGCAACAGACAGAAAAACAAGTTACATCAATTAAAATAAAAGCAAAACAAGATTTAGAACAAAAATAAATAAGAAAACTAATTTATACAACTTCTTCTAACAAATCGTATGACAATCTAGCACGTTTTAATCTATCTTCTGATGTCAAATATGTTGGTATTGTTCTCGTATGCCAAACATAGATCTAAAACAAAACGAAACAAATATTATTTGAATTTTCTATCATACTAATCTAAAATCGCTCATCTATTAAAAAACAGGTAATCGATGAATCTATCGTCACTGCATCAAGATATCTTTTCAAAATAACAATCTTCAGTCCTCTGTCATCTCCTCAAGTTTCAATGAAAGCCACGGTCTTTATTGCTTACTTTCGATGCATCATTAGCTAGACACTCTAACTCGTCTATTGTTGTCATAGTTGAAAGAATATGAGATTCTTGCTGGCCAATGCTATCAGCACTAACATTGAAATAATAATCTTTATGTGAATGAATTAAACGTAAATGAATTGCAAAGCCAGCCATATCGATAGGAAATTGACGATTACGAAAGACGTAACAAAACCAAGAATGAACCTAAAATCCAAAAATACGTCGGTTGACGGCAAAAGTCAAAAATCATCTCATACATACCTTTCCTTTAGTACACACGGGACCTTCGTAAAGTAGTTCGCCGACAATTCCAACAGGCCATACCCCAACATTTTGAACTTTTCGTATCTAATCAGTAAAGAAACACATTTAACTCGAAATAACTGCTGAATTCGAACATCTCGCTCAAAAACTATAAGCTGTACTTCACACAAGTTTATCCTCACACAAGCAACAACAAGCTTAAAGCACAATAGTGTTCTTAATAGTAAAGTTCTCATAGAATGTACTCCAATGTAGATAAACAGATTTATTTTCTAGATAATAGAATTAAAAACAACAAACAATTTATGTACTAACCCGGTTTATTTTACCTCTCGAAATATTCTCCAATGGTAGGTATTATCGTCATCCGCGAAATAAACCAAGGCATCTTCTGTCGGTTGGGTATTATTTCTCAGCCAATCGAGACCAATATTTTTTTGTAACATTCCACGTGGTTTTCTCCAATAAGACTGATTTGCTGTTATTTTCAAATAAGATGGCGTTGGATAGTTTAAATGTACACATGGAATATTGAATGATTCTAATATTTTTCGTACACGTAATGTTGGTTTCACTTCATCTTCAATTATTATCCATAGTAAATTTGGTATCTAAACAAAAGCAATTATTCAGTTAAGCTGTTATTCGTCACACGCTTCAATCGTGAGACTAGTTTAGACGCCAAACACTTGCAGAATGTTTTCCAATGAAACTTACTAAATATAATGTTTGTGCTAATCGTGTTAAATCTGGTTTTTGTTCACTTCGTGTCTTTGTTGGTGTTAGCATATAGATTCTTCTTGCTGAGGATGGATCATTATATGTTTCTCGAATGGGTTGTTCTAAGCCGGGATATAAACTAAATAATTTTTCCCATGCTTTTGCATCATTCGTTTTAGCCGTGTTTTTAACTAAAAGAAACTGAGAAAATGATAGGACATTTGATATTCAGAAAAAAAACAGATGATATATAATGTTAGAGATTTGTGTTCTAGATCTAGTACTATATTGATATGAAATCCTGTTACAAGCAGAGTTATACAATATGAGTACCAAAAGTGTATAGTTATAGTTGAAAAAATAATGAAATTGACTTACCATACATGATCATAATGACACCTGTAGTGATTATGTAACATGAAAAGAATAATATGATAATAGAATAGAATAATCGAGATCTACGCATGAAACTATATTCATAGATAATAGTGATCCACACTAAATATTAATCAAAACAAACTTTAACATGATCTAAAATACATCCATAATAAACGAGAGGAAAACATGGTATAATGAATCTGAATTTATTAACCTGCACTCTTGAAAGTGGAAGATTCGTAATTAATAGAAACTAGGTGAGATTCAAATCTGTTCTGGCAAATTATTTCTAGAACCTACGATTGCTTCTTCTTTTTCCTGATAATACAAACTATAGATCTTCTAAAACTTCTAATTTTCATAAAAAAGCCCGATCATTTCAAGCTTAGCAATGAAGAACAAACCAAAACACAGAAAAAATGAGACAAGGTTGCTGCACGAGAATACTCGAAAAGTCTAGCAATAGCGACGGACGTCAGATTCCTAATCCATATAAAAAATAATCTATAAAAGGCTGTTTCATGGAAAAAAACAATGTACCATTGTGGATAAGTTCCCTCTTAAGTGAAACGGGGTTTAAAGTTTGTCTTCGTTACCGTAAAATTCGATTTTTAAAATTTTTCAGTTTTGCCCGAAATGAGAATATCGTAAAAATTTTCCACCGCAAAAAAAACTTTGCAGGCGAGTAGCAAGTAGAATTTTATATACGTCATGTGATTTAGGATATGATTAGGATCCGAGGTTATCGAAATAGGGAAATCGAAGAGCTTTTTAACGTTTTAAAAGTCGACGGCAGCCATTTTGAAACCTCCTTGACGTTTTTTCTATTCGCAGCTACTTTTAAACGAATACTGAAATTACCTGCTAATGGCAGTAGCAGTAGTAGTAGTAGTAACTGGTTTCCTATGGTTTTCTTCCCATGGTTTACATGTAAAATCTTGGTGTTCTAAGCTGAGAGTGGCTGATTATAAGCAAAGAAAAAAACGTTACTCTATCTCAATAATGTAACCGATCTCAACTTGAGATCGGTTACTAACTTGAGATTCTCAAGTTAGCTTAAGTTGCTAGTCCTAGAAATTTGTTGAGAATTTTGTCGATTTTATGCACATTTTTGTCGATCCGTCTTTATTTGAACAACGCGTGTAATATATAGAAGCGCTACTATCTGTTCACTGTGATTGGTCAGTTGAATGGAACTGCTACTCTCCGCTTTTAGTTTGAAACAAATAAAATTGGTACGCGGGCTGAGAGAAGATGAAAAAAATGTGCTTATTTCGTGCACTTTTTCATTTTTGAGCAACTCAAAACCATTGAATGAAAGTTTTGAGTTTGAGCCAAAATAAAATATGGTTTCATTTTCTGTTTTCAGTTTTTTCGGAGAATGCTACGATTACCAAGATGACTTTTTTAAACCAAATGACTTTTTCCAGTTTTTTTCACTATAAAGTGGTCTTGATAAACCGAGTAATATTGAAATGGCCTTTTTCATCAAGAGAAAAGATATAGTTTAAACTGGATTTGTCTAAGATTTCGTCCCAAACTTAAAGTTGTTTGCTGTTTCTCTGTTTTAGATCTAAAGAAGAAAGTCCAATATGCCATATCTTAGATTAACCTATGGTGTTTGATTATTTTTAGATTTTTTCGATTGTTTGCTGCTCGGCTACTATCTCTGTTTTGGATTTCTTTCATGAGTGTCGACAAGATATTTTCTATAACTCAAAGGAAAAACTCGAATTGATGTTAAACTAACATGTATCCGTCGTTAATTATCTGGTCAAATCGTCTCAGAATTTTTTTTTTTCATAACAAAAAGAACAAAAAAGTATATAAACACCAGTATAACTAATGTGTCTTATTGAAATACTATAACGGAAAACCACAGTACAAGTGAAAAATTCTTCCTCTATACTTTCACTATAATAATTTTTCAAATATAAAATTATTTTTATGATTTTATGTTTCATGATTGAATTAGACCTGTTACATCAGTAGTATCAACCACTCACATTCATTAAAAAATGAGTGAGCGAACGATTCCCACTCAGATGAGTGGAATGTAACAGGCCTACTCATGATTGAAAAAACGACATATACAGAGCATTTTTTCTTTCGTTTGACAGTAACATGACTGATGCGTACTATAAGAAAGCAACATTGTTAATTTGAACTGTCTTCAGTGCTTATTCTCAGCCTCTGGAATGCATTAGAGTTGCTGAGTTGTTGGTTTCGTTATTTGTTTTTAGCGTTTTACTAAAAATGTCTCGAATTATCAACTATCCTTTGACGCTTAAACAAAATATTATTTATATTCTTGTAAAATGCTCTGTTTGTTTTCTGAGCAAACTTTGATAATAACGACATGTTTGAAGGAAGTCAACGAGGCTAATCTTATTCTGACCATTCCAGTATCTATTTTATGATAATTCCTTCTCTATTGTGACAAATGAAGTAAAAATGTTTTTTGATATCAAAGTTTAATAAAAGACAAAAACAACCTTGTCATTTCTTTAAATAGAAATTCGTTTTTATTCTTGTTTGTTTATTGTTTCAAAAGCAGAATGTTTTGCATACTGCATCTTATTACTAAACTACTTCCAAGCTCTTTGTTTGAGCGTAATTTGACTTTTTTGATTGCTGTCAGCAGAGCTGGGCAAACTCCGGCTAGGTACAACTCCAACTCCGTTTCGCACGATGACGCTGATTTCGAATATGAAATTCATTTCTGCTGCTAGTCGGTTTTTGAAGGTTTTTCTGGAAAACCGATCACTGTAAGACCGGATGTTTGAATGAGATAGAGTAAATCTGAGTAAGCCATCTTGTATATTTTGCTGTCAAGCAGCGTGCCCGTATACATAGACGCCAATCACGTCTCTGACTCGATTCCTGTATGCCTGTATCAATGCATGAGATGGATACTGTGAATCAAGCATGCCCGAATTGTAAAAATAGACTAGTCTTGGATATTTTTGGTATTCCGAGTATGTCATTAGTATGTCACAGTAAGAGTGTATTATCATCGTCTTATTGGTAGTTGTATTCTGGGCGATAATGACACACTTTTAAGTGATGGTGAAGACGAAGGAAAGAAAAGAATTTAGATTGGCTATATTCAAGACCGATAAGAAAGGAAAATGGAATCTCTATACTATCATATTACATTATTCTAGCCTTGTTTCTCTTATTGATGACTAATCTTTATAAAAGATACATATAAAAGACGAAGGAGAGTAATCTCACGTTATATGTGAAGTGGGGTAGGCTAGAATGTTATTTAAGCCAAACTGGCGTACTAAAATATCTGAATCATTAAGCATCGAGAAGAAATAGATCTAGACTATTCCCGACTTTCTAAAGACCAAGGTGAATAATTAAAATAGCAACTATCAAGAGCGTTGACAAAATTTAATTTTCATCCGTTAAACTGCCGAATTTTAGCTTAGATGCTTTCGGTGAGAGGAAGAGCTGTTTGCAAATAAACTGTTACTCTATTATTTTAGATTTTTTGTAATGGAATCTAAATATTCAGTTGCTCTCGTTTCTTTCCTTTTCCATTGATATAATGTCTTCATCATCACCGAAAATAGAATTATATTTGGCTAAAGATCTTGAAGAGTTGAATGATAAAGTGACAAAGATTCCGGCGTTTGAAAAACTGAAAACGTCAAATTGTGTGACAATATTGAGCTTGATTGAACCAACATGGAAAGATGCTAAAACTGCAGAGCAAAATGGCGATGAAGAACGTGCCTATATTCAATATATGAGACTGTTTGAGTGTTTACACTTCTTGAAAAATACAAATGAAGATAAACAAAATCCGGTAAGTTGGTTACAGAGTAAGAATGCTAACTCAATAACATTATTGTCATTTAATTTAATTTAATCGCCTCATAATGTCAAAGTTATTTCACCAAATATTATATATTATAGGCAAAAGGAAGTGGCAAATACAAATTAACAGCTACACTATGGTATGAAAAAGCTCAAGAGTTGTCAAATAGTTTAAAAACTAGGTAGATAAGTAAGCGAATATTGATTTTTCGTTCGTGAAACTATCTTTAACCATTTTTCTTTTCTGTTTTTGATTTTAGATATGACGAACGCGATAATAAAAACCGCATGGAAGAACAGAAAAAACAAGATGAAATTGCTGAAGAAAAATCTTGTAAGTTACTATCTTATGAGTATTTGATCATTAAAATCATTCAATTTGGTATGTTCTAGTGGTTACAACGATTCGTCCTCAACAACTTTATAAATATTTACAAAAAAATCGGCAAATATTACTTATTGATATGCGTCCATCTTCACTGTATAAGGAATCACATATGAAATATTCATGTTGTATTAATATACCAGGTGACATGGTAGGCGAAAAAGGGTAAGATATGATGTGAATATCGTTAAATAAATCATGTATTTATTTAAAATCTTTTTATTTTACTTTAGTTGGACTCCATGGTATGTTGAATCGGCTTTATCGGATGAACAATCAAAATTAATGTTTAAAAATCGTTCATCTTACGATTACATTGTATTATTTGATACTAATAGTGTTTTTGAAAAAATAACTGTGGGTCATGTAATACTCGGTTTAAAAAATGCTATTTATACGGTAAGTACCATCTATAGTGATCTTTTTGTATATTACTTGTCGTCTCTCCCTCTCACCAAAAATTATTTTGTATTTTCTAGTTCGATCAAGACAACAAACTTAAACATCAACCACTAGTATTGGACGGAGGCTATGAAGACTGGTCGAGTATATATCCGGCTGAAAACACGGCACCAGTACCAAAAAAAAGCACCGATGAAATTCAACCATTTGGTATGAAAGGATTTTGAGCAATTACACATTGCATAACTAATTTTAATTTCTCTTCATTAGAGGTACACTATCCTGAAGATATTTATCTCCCAGAAGAAATACCCGCTAAATTACCCACAGCTGTTTTCGTTCCACCATCGGAGGAAGTGAAACCCGTGGTAAAACCAGCAGATCATGACCAATTTAGTCAACAAACTATAGAAAAATTATTGCCATTGATCGATCGTGCTCGTAAACCGAAACCGCCTCAGCAGCAAATTCCTTCCAAGGTAGACGATGTTAATGCTAATATGAAATATTCAGAAGAATTAGACGCAGAAATAAAAAAAACAACAGAAGAACAGACAAATAAATTACCCATCGATAGTCAGTCAGAGGTTAGTTTCATGACTGTTTTTAGTTACTTTTCTAAACATGTTTTTCCTTATTCTTAGAACAATCAAATTTCAAGTACAATAAGTGATTCTCCTATTCGTACTGAACCTGTGATGCCAAATCGAGCGAAGAAGCCTCAGATGTATATTGTAAAATGCACTGCTTATTTGAATACACATTAAATTTTTCTATATGATTAGATCAACAAATGGCAGTCAAAAACCGATTATTGATGATACAAATCATACGTTAATGCCTAATGTCAAGCCCGAGGTTTCATTAGCTAGTCCTCAACCTTCGACTGACGCAGAAAATATTCCTCCACAACATGTTCAGATACCTCCACAGCAACAACAACAACGACAACAGGTAGGAGCACCGCTCTCTGTAAGAAAGATATAACAATAAACTCAACTAAAATTTGTTTACTGTATAAAATCATGTTGTTTCTAGCTTGCTCAAAAAATTCCACTGGATACTGTTTATCGGCCCTTTCTAAAAAGTACACCGGTGGATGCTGGAAAACAGATCTATCAAAAAAAATTTGATTCTACTACAGGAAAGTAGGTAACATGATGTGATTGATTCTTGATCTTCACCACTAAAGAATACAGTAATTGATAAGCAAATATCTCTATTTATTTTAGAAAAATATTTTTGGATCCACGAAACAATCAATTAATAAGTGATTTACCTGACGCTGAACGTTACGAAACACCACGTATATCAACACAATCCGAATCATATAGCACACCTCAACAAATCGTTCAAACACAAGAAGTACCAAATCGTGTAGTACCTTCAACTAGTACTGTTTCAAATGGTAATTACCATTTAGTATAATTAAAAAATTATCGATATTTTGATATTGTTTTCATTTACAGTACCTCCGACAATCGAGCGATACAAAAAACTGTTGATCAACAAGCAACAAATAGCTGCTGATTATTGCGCTATGCCGCTAACCGTTAAACCTCAGCCAAATATGCTAACTGGTATGTTGAATAAAGTCATTTGTTTTTGTCGTATGTCATAAGTGAGAAATTAAGATTAAAAATCCGCTGTCACCTTCAATTAATACGTTTCTTTTTTTTTGTGTTTGTTCAAGGTTTAGAAAATCTTGGTAATTCATGTTATATGAACGCTGTTATTCAAAGTTTATCGTACAATCATATTTTGACAAATTATTTTTTATCGGGTGATTTTTCCAAAGATATTAATGTAACAAATAAATTAGGTTATAATGGAGTTGTGGCCAATGAATATTTGAAACTTGTTCATGCACTATGGTCAAGACAATTTGGCTCATTAAGACCGATACCATTTAAAATTGTCGTAGGAAAAATTCAACAAGCCTATTGGGATACAAAACAACAAGATGCTCATGAATTTTTAGTTTTTCTACTCGACTGTTTACATGAAGATTTAAATAGAGTATGAGATTCAAAGTTACTGTTATTCGGTTTTTTTTTCTCTCATGTTTATTATTTATTCATTTAAGATACAAACTCGTCCAAAAATGAATGAAATAAAAACGGAAGATTATCATGATAATGATACTCTATTAGCGGATGTTACATGGCGTGCATTTAAATCACATAATGATTCTATTATTGTCGATCAGTATCATGTAAATAAAATAAACAAATCGTGATTTTCAATAAATAATACATTTTTTATTCAAAGGGTTTATTTCGTTCAACGGCCGTCTGTTCTATATGCAAACGTTCGTCAAAACGTTTCGATCCCTTTATTTGTCTCAGTTTACCAATACCGCCTCGTAATGTAAGTACAATTGAAGAATGTCTATCTAAATTTGAAGAACCCGAATTATTAACTGGGAATTCAAGATGGAATTGTCCGAATTGTAAAGTACAACGAGATGCTAGAAAACAGATAAAAATCTGGAAATTACCAAAACAGTTAATTGTACAATTCAAACGGTTAGTATTTTCAAAAGTCATGTCTTCTAAAGGATGTTAATTTTAACGATTTTTATTTCTTCTTTTTAGTTTTCGTCTAACATCTGATAATAGATGGGTTAAAAACGAGTCCTTAATTCGTCATCCAATTAATGATTTTGATTTAACTCAATGGACATTAACATCATCTCCAAAATATTCATTATATGCCGTTGTCAATCATTTAGGCTCAATGAATGCTGGTCATTATACGTCATACTGTAGAGATTTTCGAACAAATGACTGGTATCTTTGTAATGATGACAGAATAACCCAAATTAATCCAACAGAATTATCTAAAAATCAAAACGCTTATTTATTATTTTATACTTCGATGAAAATGCCAATTATTTCAATGAATTCAAAGTTATCTTCATCTCAAAACTAAATATTCTACTTCACTTTTTTGTCTAACTACCAATGTACCGGTGTCTACTTATTATTTTTCTTGTTATATATATACATATATATCTTTGTTCTTTTGGTCGACTTTTTCTAGTTTATCTCTATTTGTTATAAATTTTCAACGTTTATTTGAATTAAACAAGAATGAATTTTATTTCATATGATCAATTTGTCGTCCTGATTGAAGGTAAATAATATATTACTTCTAAAAATAACTTGAACAAGGTTTGTTTTCTCAGGATTAGCGACGGCATCAACTGCTCCCTTTTCTAAGATGTCTTTTTTACTGAGAAATTGATGGCAAGTGGTGACCGATTGGTCAATTCAACTTTCTCAAAATCGGAAACGTTGAGAGCCAGTGCAGTATGAGGATATTTTTTATTCCATTGCCATAATATTTTCTACCCGTTCAGAACTTCAGTCAACGGTACAAAAATCTTCACTCTTCTTTAAGAAGAAAAAGAATTTTACAAGATTGTAAGATTATATTGTTGTTCAAAAGAAAGAAAGATCAAAAATCGAAAACTAGTTGGAAAATGATCTCGATATGGAGAGAGTTGGCAATTCTGTCTACTATTGTGTTGATAAATCATAGTCTATCCACAATATTCTTTCATTTTTCTCTGCATGTATACTCGAGGATGAACGAGATGAGGCAGACACATTTGGATTGGCAATATCTACAATAATGACATTTTCTTCTATAATACGTACCACTTTTAATTTGCGATCCTTCTGTAATTTTGACATCATTTATTGTAATATTTGCGACAGTAACAATTTTTTTATCTTTTTACAGTAGTTTTATAAATGATATAAGACATAGGATTATTTATTTGGAAATTATTATCAAACGACATACTTATATTACTTTTAGGCATGCAACAATCACAAACTAGGAATCGCTGATCGGCACCGAACGGTTTGTTACCGAACATGTTCGGTCACCAAACCGTTCGCAACCGAACATGTTCGCTGCCGATCAGCGAGCCCTAGCTTGGAATGGTTGCATACGCTATCAAAGGTTAAAAAAAAATAGTTTGTCCAAGCTAAGAACATGAGAACGAAGAAACACATGAAAGAAATCTTTGTAAAACAGAAGAAATGGTGAAGATTACACCAAACGGAGGAGCAGCCTTGATTATGCCGTAGCCGTAGGTAGTCATGTAAAGAGAAGTTTGAATCAAAGCAGCAAATTTATGTTTACTTTATTCCAGGAAGTTGAAAGTACCTTTAGTTTCCATTATATCTGATTTACTCTCTAATTACTTACTAACGTGGCATCTGTATAGCAGATTGATTT